GTAATTTTAAAAAATATACAGGATTAAGCCCTGGCTGGTGTAGCTCAGTGGATTGAGCGCGGGCCTGTGAACCAGATAATCGCTGTTCGATTCCCAGTCAGGGCACGTGCCAGGGTTGCAGGCCAGTTCCCTGCAGGCCAATTCCCAGCAGGGGATGCATGAAAGGCAACCATACATTGATGTTTCTCTCTCTCTCTCCTTCCCTTCCCCTCTAAAGATAAATAAATAAAATTAAAAAAATAAAATAAAATAAAATAAAAGCATTCAATAGTGGTTATATTAAAAAAAATATACAGGATTAGCATGTACTGAGAGTTATTCTTTCATTAAGTTTCAAGACATATTAATACAAATTAATGTCTTATTAATTATTAATTACTAATACAAATTTTTAAAAATACACAAGATGAGCAATAACTGAGGGTTATTCTTTAAGTTTTAAGACATATGAATACGAATTCCTAGTTCACTACAGTATAACAGGTGCCTAACTTCCTGTCATCTCCTGAAACTGGAGAGATGAGAATGGGATCTCTCCAGCTTTTAAGTCTTACTCCAGAAAATGTTTAATTTTAATAGCAGAGGAATAAGTTTCAATAGAATACGATATAAGCACCAGGTTGTCGAGATAACCAAGGCTGTTCTCAAATGTCTTTTTGCCCAATTTCGGTCTTCTAGAATACTTTCAAAATTAAGCTCCAGGGTCACCTATATGAAACATAGTCCAAATCAAACCTCAAATCTCAATCAACCTAATATTTTAAAATCAAACATTTTCCTATCAGTAGTTTTCAGAGGTCTAACTTTACTCTCTACGAGGTTAGCACCTATCACATACTGCTTTTCAGTTAATTTTTATATGTTCATTTTCTGTCTTAACACTAGATAGAGAATTTCTAGAGCTTTTACCCACAGGATGCCCAAATGAAACTAATGTGCTTGGTAGACACTTTGAAAACATATGTATGAGGTCTGTCTGGAAAAAGTCCAGCCATTGTTAATATAAAGAAAACAGTTTGTGCGACATCGATGTAATCTGGCAGCCAAGGAGAATGGAATGGAATGTGCGTATGTGAACAATGATGACTTCACTGTACCAGTCAGTGGGGTGGGTAGGAGATGCTGTTGAGTGAGCACGTGTACTGTGTGGCCATCACATTCTAAATAACTGAGCAAGTAAAGCAATTAATCTACATCAAATTTTGTGTTAGGTTTGAACATTCTTCCAAGATGATTCACAAGGCCATAGCTATGGGCAACTGGTGATTGGCAGCTTCATCATGACAATGTGCCCACCTACGCATCACATGTCATGCAGGGTCTTTTGGCAAAATATCCAATCACCCACGTGATTCAGCACCCTACAGCCCAGATTTGGCACCCTGTGACTCTGACTTTTCCCAAAACTAAAATCACCTTTGAAAAAGAAGAGATTTCAGACTGTCAGTGAGATTCAGGAAAATAACACGGGGCAGCTCAGGGCAACCAAGGGAACTGTGTGAGGTCCCAAGGTACCTACTTTGAAGGTGACTAAGGAGTATTGTCCTATGTACAATGTTTCTTGTATATTGTCCCATAAACATCTCTAGTTTTCATATTACATGGCTGGATACCTTCTGGACAGACCTTGTATTAATTGATTATTTAGTGATGCCAAATGGAGTTACAGCACCAGACTGTTCCTCACTCTGATATCACTAATAGTATGTTCTCAACTCCGGCCTCTTTAGAGGTGAGGCTCTTCGGCTTTGAAATGGAGTGATTATACAGGCTGACCTCCGAGATCACTTACATTCCTCAAACTTTATGCTTTTATGTTTCCACTTAAGTTTAAACAACTATATCCAAACTTTGAAAGGTATATATATTTAAGAGTAATTAAAAAACAAACAGATATAACTGGTAAAGTTCTTTCACTAAATTTTAAGATATGTCAATAACATGTCTTTGTTCATTACAGTAGAACAGCAGCACCATGCACTCGATAACACTGCTCCAAATAAAAATGACAGATCAACCTGTTGTGTTTCAAATAACTGTCCCTATGAGACATCATTTAGTATTTTCTATTATCACTTCACAGGATTTATTCAAAGTACCAAAATGACATTTGGTTTCCATTGGAAAACTTACATAAAAAGCGGGCAAACTTAAGTACTGAGATATCACTAATAGTTAAAGCTTAAGAAATCAGTTATTCACTACAACAATTTAAAAATATTTAGGTAAACATTTAAAGTTTCCCTTCTGTTTTCTGTAAATATCCAAGATTATCCCATAGCTATGAGCTTCAGATTATTACCATCTAAGGGATAATTGATTTAGTCACTTAATAACAGGAAAACAGTGGTTTCCCCATCCATGGGGTGTACATCCTCAAGGCCTCCAGTGGGTGACTGAACCTGTGGGTAGCACTGAACCCTATATATACTATTTTTTTCTTATACATACATACCCATGATAAAGTTTAATTGATAAAGCAGACATAATGATCAACAATAATAATGAAATAAAAAATAATAACAATATACTGTAATAAAAGTTTGCTGAATATGGTCTCTCAAAATACCTTATTACACTACATGCACCCGTCTTGTGATAATGTGAGATGGTACAATGACTGTGTGATGCAATGAAGTGAGGGGAATGACCTAAGTATTGTGACACAGCTTTAGGTTGCTATCCAAGTTACTCAAAGACAAGCACTGTGGCATCATGACCGTCAACCTGATAACCAAGATGGCTACTCCCAGTGAGTGCGCTGAACAAGAGGAATGGTTTGTGTTCTGCGCAGGATGGAGTGGGATGGTGCAAAATTCCACCATACTACTCAGAATAGCACAAATTTAACACTTATCAACTTTTTTTTTTCTGAATTTTTCCATTTAATATTTTTGGGATGCAACTGACCATGTGTAAGTGACAAAAAACAACAGTCGATAAGGTGAGGCTACTGTATACAGGTCACAGAAGGGTCTGCTATCAATATGAACACTGTACAGGCCAGCACTTGCTAATAAAAATCACTGATATGACTCAATTACCAATCACACTTTTTGTAATCAATTAGCACATGATTTAGCTTAAATTTATTACAGCTTTAAAAAGGAAAATGACAACTCATCAGGCACAACTGACTCTTAACACTTTCTGCATTCTTTATATTTTATAATATAGTACAGTTACTACATTTGTGCAATTGAAAAACAGATAATGAAAGTTCTACCTCTGTGACAGCTTTTTAAAATCTCTATATCACATACTAAAGTGTGTTCACTGATAATTCGTATGATTGTACATCCAACTTCTCTGGAGCTCCTGAAAATTAACACCAACCCCTTATTAGTGAAACATACACCATAGAATCTGATCTTATTATTTAAACAAAATGAATGACTAAAGCTTCCCAAATCAATTTTGCTTTATCGATACCAAAAAAAAAGGAAAAAAACTACTTCTTTCATGCTAAATTACAAAGTTAGCATTAAACATGTTACAAACAGAAACATTAAAAGACACTGTTTACACAAACTGGAATAAATTATCAGGCATTCCCTCAAGTGCTAAGATGTAATTTACTCCTCATGATATAACAAATATGATTTGTTATTTGGTCATTCTAGTTTTAAAATCTGAGCTGAACCTGACAAAGTCAAGTAAATTTATTTACACAAGAATTCTGATATTCTATATATTGAGGGGGACCAAAGTTTTGCCACTCCAAAATGTGCCTTTTGGGACATAGATTTTTAAGCTGGTTATAAAGAAAAAAAGACTCAGAGAGAAACTTTGACCCTCCTACTTTACCTGACTGAAGGAATTCAGATAGAAAAACTTGCTTACTGGAAAAGAGCATCAACTTAGCATCCTAATATAAACGAAAAGTGTCAGACAGGGAGAAATGCAGCAAAGCCTGTTAGACTTCCCTCTATGTCCCACTGTTCCTGGGTGGCCCAGAAAGAAATTGTTTACTACATGTCTGCTCTTCCCATCTACCTGTAAACTGCCTACTTTCCCTTTGAAATCCCAGACCTCTGCCCACTTCTCCTTTGTCTAAAATGGCATATAAACCTCAACTGCCCAATGTGTCTTCAGGTTTCATATCTTATGGTACCGGCGAATCTACGTCAGTATGAAGCTTGTAGATTTTCTCCTGTTGATCTGCCTCATGTTAATCTATTAGCCCAGTTAGAAGAACTTAGAAGGTGGAAGGAAAATTACTTTTTTTTGCCCCCACTGTATATCTATATAGCCGTACAAAAATTCAGTTTTCATGGGTTCTTGTTTTTTGCTGTTTGATATAAAGTGTGGCCTTCCTGCACTTTCAGATCGCAGAAGAAATCCACCCTATTCTGGAAGCTCTTCAACTCCCAGTGACCTTTAAGTTGGTTGTAGCAGATTCTTGAATGTCCTAAGAAAAGACAAGCCTGCACTGCTTTTTTTTTCCCTCTAGTTGACAAAGTTGCCTGTTTAGTTTTATCATACTCCCCCCATTCCTATTCTGAAGAGGGAGGATCTCTAAAACATAGTTTCACATTCAGGATTAACGTTACCTGCGAGAGCCAGGTGATAAGGTTGGGTTGCAACGGTGATGGAGGGAAAAGAGCCAATTCTGCCCAAAGCACTACCTGTGGCTCCCAAAAAGGGGTGGGGGCGGGGAAAGCGAGGGCTAGAATGGGACAAAGTACTTCTTTATTCGAACTACATCTGGGGAAGTCTTTCTGAATGAGTGAGTCCCCCTTCGCTCTACAGAGAAGAGGAATCGCGGGGACCGCTTCGCCCCCTCCTCTTTACATGTGGCCCTTCGTGGCCAGACCTCACGCCTGGAGGGAGGAAGGTGGACGAGGAAGGCAGCTGGTCGCCAGAGCCCCCTCAAGCAGCTCCCGATCCTGGCTGCGAGGCCTGGACCACGCCGCGGCCTCGAGGCACCAACCCAGAGGGGCGCTCGGCGCCCCGCGCCGGCCCGTCCGGAGGGTCCCCAGTCCCGGCCCTTGACTTACCGCTCTCCACCTCGCTGCCTTTCTTGGCGGTAGCCGCGTTCCCCATGGCTGGGGCGGTAGAAAGAGGGGGTCGGGGAGGGGAATGGGGGCTGGGGCTGCTCCCGCCGCTCCACACGCGGCGGCAACTCCCGTTCCAGCACAGGTCAGGGCGGTGAGTCCCCGGGAGCGGATGCCCCGAGTACCGGCGGGAACGCTGGGCTGGTTCTGACCGCCGATCTTCGGTGAACTCCCCTGCCCCGGCGGCGGCACGGCGAGCGGCGGCCGCAGCCCGGGGACCGACCGGCGGCCGCGAGCAGACACTCCCCCTTCCCCCGCCCCGCCCTCCGGCGCGCCCCGGAGCACGGCGCGCGCGGCCGGGCCGGTCCGCTCCCCGGCGGGCACGTGTGCCGGAAGTGACGTACTGGCCCGGGACGCGGGCGGCCGTCGGGGTGGGGTCGACCTGGGGGACCAGGGTGGCCGGGGTGGGTGGTCGGGTGTCGCCGAGCCGGATGTTGTCGTCCGAGCCGGTGTCCCGCGCGCGACCTGGGGAACCCGGAGTCTCCGTTGCCCTGAAGCGGCGCCAGAGGAACCCGTGCAGGGACTTAGGGTGCTTCGTGACCCGCATCGCGTGGCTCCCCTCCAGGCGCCCGCCCTAGGCCGCCTTGTGCCCGCAGCCTCTGCCACAGATAACCGCCCCGTGGGGTGCGTTACATGCGAGGTGACATCGCTGGTCCTCGCCTCTGCAGCTGCGGAAACTCGCGGTCCGGCGCGTCTCTTCGCCTCGCAGATGCAGGTATCAGCCGAGCCCACCACTCGTCCTCCCGATTCTTAGACACAAGCCCTTTGATGTCTCCGGTGCAAATTTCCATTCGCCCTGGTTTCGCGGTTCGCTATCACAGGTTTTGTAACACATCTGAGGCGGAGACAAAGGACAATTTTACTATTTCTCCAGAATGCCTATTGATGACTGGCGTTGTATGTAGCAGTTTTCTGTGCAGATGTCAAAATAAACGCATTCCCAATTGGTAGTTGCGTTTTTATTAATATATATCTTAGAGAACTTAAATTAGCGAATAGCTTTACTTGCTGGGTAATTTATGTGGCACTAGCTTAATTTTTGCTTGCAAGTTTGTTTGAACTGTGCGCTGTAAGCATTTATTTTCTACTTAGTGTAGAAAAGATAACTTCCCGCCCGGACCAGTGTGACTGGTGGTTGAGCACCATCCCTAAAATCCAAAGGTCTCTGGTAATCCGTCAGGGCTCATGTATGGGTTGCGGCTTTTCGTTTGGGGTGCATGCTTGAGGCAACCTATCCATCAGTGTTTTTTTCATGATGTTTCCCTCCCTTCCTTTTCCCCTCCCTTTCCCTCTCTCTAAAAATACATAATTAAAATATTTTTTAAAGGAAGAAAAAAAGACTGACTACTCGAGGGACAGAGACCACGTAAATTATTTTGTGTCCCCAGGGCAGGTGTTTAATGGTTACATGCTGACTTGAAAGTAAACGGAGGGAATATGTGACAATTTTTCATGTATTTTTGTCTATTACCATTTATCCCCCTTATAACTGCCCCTCTCAAATATCACACTGTTGCCCACGTCCATGAGTCCTTTTTCCTTTTTGCTCCGTTTGTCCACCCCCTAACCCTGCACTGGAGCTGTCAGCCTGCTCTCCATCTATGAGTCTGTCTCTGTTTTACTTGTTAGTTCTGTTCGTTCAATAGATTCCACATATGAGTGAAATAATATGATATTTGCCTTTCTCTGACTGTCTCGTTTCACTTAGCAAAATGTTCTGCATATCCATTCATGCTGCTGCAGAGAGTAAAATTATCTTCTTTTTTATGGCCGATACTATTCCATTATGTCAGTGTCCCACAGTTGTTTTATCCATCTCATCTGCTGGTGGACACTTGGGCTGCTTCCGTATCTTGTTGATTATAAATAACGCTGCGATGAAGATAGGGTTAGTTATGTTCTTTCGAATTAGTGTTGTTTCAGGTTTCTTGAGATAAATTCCTAGAGGTGGAATGGCTGGGTTATAATGTACTTCTGTTTTTAATTTTTTTGAGGCACCTCCATACTGCTTTCCACAGTGGCTGCACCAATCTGCATTCCCACCAACAGTACAAATGGGTTCCCCTTTCTACATGTCCTCACCACACTTGTTTGTTGATTTATTGATCATCACCACTCTGACCCATGTGAGGTGACATCTCGTGGTTTTAGTTTGCATTTTTCTGATGGCTAGTGACATTGAGCATCTTTTCATATGTCTGTTGGCTATCTATATGTCCTCTTTGGAGAATTGTCTATTTAGGTCCTTTGCCCATTTTTTAGGTGGGTTGTCTGGTTTTTTTTGGTGTTAAGTTTTATAAGTTCTTTATAAATTTTGAATATTAACCCCACAGCAGATGCATTGATGAATGTGTTCATCCATTCAGTGGGTTGTCTTTTTATTTTATTAGTGGTTTCCTTTACTGTGCAAAAACTGTTTGGTTTAATATAGTCTAATTTGTTATCTATTTTTTGTTTTTCTTGCTCGAGGAGATATATTAAAAACAATATTGCTAAGAGCAATATCTGAGACTTTAATGCCTATATTTTCTTCTAGAAATGTTATGGTTTGGGGTCTAACATTTAAGTCTTTAATCCATTGTGAATTTATTCTTGTGTGTGGTCTAGTTTCATTTGTCTGCATGTATCTGTCCAATTTTCCCAATACACTTTCTGATAGTTCATTATTGGCATATAAAAATGCAACTGATTCTGGATATCAATTTTGTATCCTGCCACTTTACTGAATTTATCTATCAGTTCTGATAGTTTTTTGGTGGAATATTTAGGGTTCTCTATGTATAGTATTATATCATCTGCAAATAAAAACAGTTTTACTTCTTTCCAATTTGGATGCCTTTTATTTCTTTTTTTCTGATTGCTATGGCCAGGACTTAAAGTACTATGTTCAGTACGAGGTAAAAGCAGACATACCTGGCTTGTTTGGGAGCTCTTTACTTCTCCTCCAATTTTAAATGATACCCTTGTTGGGTAAAGTAGCTTTGGTTGTAGGTTCTTGCTTTTCATCATCTTGAATATTTCCATGCTAAACCCTGTGGCATGAAGTGTTTTTGTTGAAAAATGAGATGACTGTCTTCCTTGTAGATAACTAACTTCTTTTCTCTTGAAGCTTTTAAGATTCTCTCCTTGTCTTTAACCTTTATCATTTTAATTATAATGTATCTGGGTGTGGGCCTCTTTGGGTTCATCGTGTTTGGGACTCTACGATTGCTGGTCTTGTGTGTCTTTTTTCCTTCTCCAGGCTAGGGAGTTTTTTGGTTATTATTTCTTCAAAAAGGTTCTTGATCCCGTGCTCATTCTCCTTCTGGTATTCCCATGATGTGGATGTGCGGATGCTGTTATGCTGCATGTTGTCCCAAAGTTTTCTTAAACTCTTCGTTTTTTAAAATTCTTTTTTCTTTTTGCTGCTTTCCTTGGGTTTTTTTTTTTTTTACGTTGTCTTCCAAATCAGTGATTCGATGGTCTGCTTAATCTAACCTACTATTTATTCCTTCCAATGTATTATTTATTTAAGATATCACATTCCTTATTCCTGACTGGTTCTTTTTTATGGTTTCTATGTCTTTTCATGCTGTTGGGTGTTTTTATAATCATTATTCTAAACTCTATCTGATAAATTTCTTGCCTCCCTTTTATTTAGTTCTTCTGGAGAACTCTCTCGTTCTTCCATTTAGGACCTATTACTTGTCTTCCCATTTTGGCTGCTTTTTTGTGTTTGTTTCTGTGTATTGGGTAGATCTGCACAGACTGTGGTGCAGACCTAAGCCAGATGCTGCCTGTGACTGGCCCTGGGCAACCTGTTTGGAGCTCAGCAATACACCGCTTGTGGCTCCTCCTACTGGACCTGTGTGTGTGGAGAGAGGTCCAAGCTGCTCACCAAGGCTATTATCAGCACTGGGCCCTGTGGGGGAGGGTCAGCTAAAGTCTCAGAGATCCGCCTTGGTCTGCAGGCTTTATGCTAGGCTTGTCATTGAAATAGCCTCCAGCTCTACTCCTCCAGGTTTAAGCTCCACAGAGCGAGTGACAAGGATTCCTGCTGGTGGGGCTATTGCTTCCTCTCAGGCCAGTGCCATTTGGAGAGCAGTGTTCTGCCTGAGAAAGATGGCTCCTGCAATATGGGGAATGACTCAGCACAGGGATTCTGGCAGCTGACCCTTCAGTTCTCTCCCCAGACTTCCCTCACTTGCCTCTAGTCGACTCTGCCCTCCCTCTGCCAGAGCCCAGGGTAAGTGGCTGCAAACAAAATTTTGTGCATTGGCTCTTGAAGAGGCTCTCTGCATCTCGAGCCATCTCTCCCTGGTGGGAAAAAAACCTGTTGCTTTTCTCAGCCAGACATTATTTGGGTTCCTTTCTCAGTTCTGGTGTTCTACCCTAGGGAGCCCAGCTTGGGGTTTAGACCCCACACTTCTGAGGGGTACACTGCCTAGTCACTGAACAATCCTTCCAGAATTTCAACTGCTATCCATGGGAACCCAGCCAGCCCTCTCCTGCCTTCACACTTCCTGTCAGTCTCATTGTGGTGATGTGGTTTCTTCCTTGGCTATAGGGCTTCTCTCCAGCTGGTGTTCAGTTGGTTGTTCAGGGTGATTTTTCTATAATTTAGTTGTAATTCCAGATTGGTCCTGGGAGGGGGTCAGTGTACCTTCCACCTACTTCTCTGCCATCTTGGATCTCCCTTAGAATTTTTAAAAAGTCTTTTTCATGACTGAGGAAAACAGAATGGTAATTGTAGGAGTGTGTCAGTAAGCTCTTCTTGGTATTTTTTACTACCAATTCTGTTAAATGAGTTTAACAAGTGTTTGTATTATATATGCTGTATTTTAAGTACTATAAAAATAGTAACTCAAGAACTCTATATGTTGATTTACTATCTTCATTTTACTTATAAGCAACTGAGACACAGAGAAGTTAAACAACTTAGCTCAGGTTACACTGCTACCGTGTTTTACCATATATAATGCACACTTTTTTGCCCAAATTTTTGAGAGAAAAATAAGGATGCACATTATACGTGGATATACTAATTCTGTATCTGTATAAATGTTTTTATTTCTTTTATTTATGCTTATTTGTTAAAAGTATAATTCTAGAAAACAATAATAATATCCATATGCAAAATAATACCCCGGTACACAATAATTAGATTTGTTTCTAAATATAAATAAATAAAATTTGAATTAAAATATTAAAATAAAAGAGTTTTTTCCCAAAAGTTTGGGCCAAAAACATGGGTGCACATTTTACACA